CCCAAAATGAGCAACCTTCTCAACATACACTAACTGTTATCTATCGATATATAGGTTTCCTCATCTCTCTGTTTAAAAAGCTTTGAAGGTTTCGAATTTTAATACTTTTTTCACTATTAAATTCGATGGTGAAAAAATATTCAATATTGAAGGTTATAAACAAGTGATGATCAGTTTTAAGAAAGGATAGGTTGGAATTAGATTAGTTGAGGTGAACGTCGTGGATTTGTGTTGATTAAGTTGGAATATATTGAAATAGACAACTTTGTTTGGTTTTGGTGCGATGCTTATTCGTGGAGTTATTCCATCTCGAATTATTAGCACTTTAAGATTTAATAATGGTATTCGAATTTATTATTCTACCGGTAGTGAAAGTAATGCTGATGGATTGGCAGGATCTGATACTTTAAAACAAAGTGATTCTACTTTGGAGACAACTTGCGATCCGGTGATAGAGGCTATGATCTCAAAGACAAGAGGTAAGAAGAGAAAACCATCTAAGGCTTCATTCGTCGTTTTAAATCCAACACAAGCAGGTTTACTGAGGAAAAGACATATACCATCTGAATTCTCTAAGAAGAATGGCGAGAAACTTTCCATTTTAGAAGGCATCGAATTAGACAAAGATATGCCATCTACCAAAATAGCCACTCGTGACAATGATATTGGGGACAAATCAGAGACCAGCAAGATTTTAAATGAGATCGAAAACAGTAGAAAACGATTATTGGTATTTGCAAGTACTGCTTCTCAAGGTGAAGCTGCAAAATCAATTAATTATCAGAAACCTACGGTCAAAAAGATGTCCCAGGAAAGATATGATCAACTGAAGTACCTTTTGGATACTGGTTATACAGTTCCACAATTAAGAGCATATACCAAAAAATACTATAATGATAGCAACAATAAACTTGTGAAACATGACTTAATTAAAAAAGTCTTGAATGATTATTGGGGTTGTATTGTTACAAAGAATGTTAAAGAAGCTGATGATGTGATTATAGAAAGAATCATTGACATTAGCACTAGGGATATGTATTTATTATTATTAACAAATAATGGTAAAATCATGCATAATTTGGCTCGTATTGGTGCGACTTTAGCGGTAGTATTGGATGAAAACAAAATTATTGTAAGGGGTACCTCTGCCATTATAAAATATGTTGAAGTGTCTCTAAATAAAATTTTGCAAAATGTGGTTACAGAAACAATGCCTATATCGGATATAATACAATTTCATACTGCAAAAGGAGCAAAACTTATGACTTATGATGAAACTAGAGATCTTACAGGGCTAATTCAAAGAGTTAGTGGTGCCTTTTTTGAGAAAGTACCTTCTGAAAATAACCAGGACAGTATTGATTACACACTTGCTTCATTAGGTAGGAAGAGGATAGAAGACGCTAAAAAATTATTTCTATGGGCAATGAATTATGAATGTCAATTACAAGAAAAATTTGGAAATTGTACCGATCCATCTTTAATTTATAAGAACTATCCATATACTTCTAACGAATGTCTTGATTGGATAAATAGAAGTAAAGAATGGTATAGAGTCCAAAGTGTACAAGCGGTAAATACTATACCAGATGAACCAAATACAGATACTCGCTTACATTTGGAAAATGAAACTATTGAAACATATAGAAACTTCCTGAATGGACAAGAATCTAGTGATCTAAATACCAAAATGATGAAGCTTTCTTCAAAACTTTTACAGAATAAAACAAACAGTATCACGTTGGGTCAAATTCTAAGGGAAAATAATGTGGATAAATATAACTCATATATGTTCCAACCTAGAATTCCTCAAATCACAAGTAAGTTATTGCAATTACCACTGTTTGATAATGTAACTCCTGAAAATGACTTATACTCAATTGATCAACATGATTATTATGTTCAAATGAAGTTTATTCCAAACTTATCTTCCATATCTGATGAATCATTCAACGCCCCACCGTTGGAAATCTGGTGTGAATTAGACGATAATGACAATGCTATTTTGACATCTGCGCAATGTATCTTATTAATGGAACAGAAAAGATTATTTTTAGAATCGGGGCATCTTCCCCACGATTATAGAATTGACCGTGACACCACTGTAAACTTGACAGAATCATTTGAACTTAATCAAGAAAACTGGCTAAATGATCAACCAGGTTTAAAAGAATTTTTTAGGAAGGCAAAATTAAAGTTTGGACAAGGTGGTAAAGTTGAAGTTCCAGGCCAAGTTAAATTAAGTTTGCCAATGGTTAATTCAAATGGTATCGACAAAGTAGTTGATGTTAATTACGATTACATCAACATTACCTACAGAAGAGTTTTAAGATTGAAATATATGGATAAATATCTTGTTCAATTTTCTGATATCAACGGTGGTTCACGTGGTGGTAGATATACTCAAGTTGATTTTGTTGGTGATGGTAGTGAATTAGATTCAACAGAAAACCTAAGAAATTTCATCACAGATATATCCAGTAACTTTTGAAGACTAACATGTTAATATTACCAATTTTAATGAAAATGAAAATTTAATTATTCAATTTACGTATCTTGTAAATATATATTAAGAAAATAAAACTTATAGATATGGGACAAAAATAAAATAAAATTATTAATAACGATTTTTTATCGATTGTATTCTATATAGAATTATTAAGTGCATTATAGTGTATTTAATATAACATTTGATTAGTGATTTTACTCATTTGTATCTTCTTCAATTTCTATTTGAAGGTCAGCTTCTTCGACGTTTTCACCTTTCTTTAATCTTAATAATTCGCTGTCATCAATTGGCCCCCCTAATATTTCTAATAGTCTTAAACTACCAGAATATAATTCCTGAGCAATTTCATCATCAGGATCGCAGCTTTCACCTGACTTTGCAGCAAAACTGAATGCGATACGAGCTTCATGGATGAAATCTGTTAATGCAGGATAAGTTAAATCAATTACGACTTCTTCGAAATGTTCATTAAATTCATAAATGTTTTCAGCCGTTATAGCAACTTCTGGGTTATGCGATTTGAACATTTCTAATTTACACAATAGGTAATAACAGAAACCTTCCAAATAATAATTTTCCAAATTATCTTCTTCGATATCTTTGATAGCACTGATTATCTTCAATGAAACTTCATATAAACCCATTTCGATACACATTTTCACTAATGAAAGTAGAGGTTGTAGTAATTCTATATATTCTTTGTGGGACGATAAGCTTGCTTCTTGTAGATTTTCTTCAATATCTTGTTTCTTCAATTCGAAATTCTTCCAAGCTTCTAGAAATGCATTAGAGGCCTCAGGGAATCTTTGTTGGGAGATTCGAATCGAACCCAACATAGATAGAGCTTCAGGTGATTTATTATCAGATATTTCCAAGGCCTTTTGAATTAATTCCTCGCACTGCATTTCAGCATTAGGTTCCATACATAAATCAGTCATCCAAATTTCAATCATAGATAAAAGACCCTTCACAATTTTATCGGTTTGTTCCTTGGTGATTACATCACCAGCCTCTTGAGAGACATTTGTAATACCTTGAAACAAAATATTAACACCATCTTGACCACCAGTAATTTGACCTAAAGTGAAAAACTTCTCAGATCCACCCTTCAAACCTTGTGGATCCATTTCACAGCATCTTGTCAAAAGAGGATAAGCTTTCTCGACATTAGATTCATCTAGATATGCATCTGCAAAAACTTGAATCAATTCCAAATCATTAGATTTCAAATTTTTCTTGAATGGTTTCAATAACTTTAATGCTTCTTTGGAGTTGCCTTCTCCTATCAATTTTTTGGCAGCTTCGACGACAGTCTTAGTATCTTGCATATCACCAATTTATATCACCCAACTCTCGACTTGATAGAATTACCACAACAATTCCTAAATCAAACTTTTAATGCAATTAATAAGTTGTCATCTATCTCATCTCATCTCATCTCTTCTTCTATTGACAATTTTTCAAATTTCCCAGTTCGAAAACTTTTCCTCCGGCTATTTCTCTGCGTCCATCGTGATATATATTATCACAAATATAAGGCTTTAATACAACTAGATGAAATTATATATAAAATGTATATAGTAAAATTGGACAAATGATAAATAAAGGTCATGAGCAACTAGTGGATGAGTGTATGTGCTTGTATAAATATGTATAAATGCTTGTAGTTATGTTTGTAGTTGCTTTAGGATAGTTCATGATCTACTTTTCTATAGTAGAGCATGCTAATATTAAGAATAAAAGAGAATTTCTTTTTTTTAATAATTTTTGGTAAAATTTTAGTATAAGAATTAGTAATAATTCTCCCATGTTATTTTATTTGTTTCATCAGTTCTAGTAATAGATTTATCAATCAATCAATTAATGCAAAAAAAGGATAGAGAGTCTTTTGATTTTATATTAGGGATGGTTAGGTTTCTTCGTCATCGTCTGGTCTTGGACCTGACAATTGACCTAATGCTGCTAGACGTCTTCTTCTTTCAACAGAAGTTTCTGATTCTTCACCACTACTATAATCGTCATTGATATTGGCTCCATCCATACTTTCATTGTCAATTACATCATGCAGTGTTCTATCATAATTATGTAATTCTTGAGGAACGTAGTCTTGAATGGAACTATCAATACTAGTGGTAGATATAATTTCTTCTTCTTCGATTTCTTCATCGTCAGTTTCACTGAGACTGTGCTCATCATTATCACTGATTTCATCTGGAGATTCTGAAATTTTGACCCTCTTTGGTGCAGGCGTTAGGTGTCTAACCATTTTTTGTGCATTTTCTATGTCTCTTGGGGAAGGAGGTTGTGCAGATGATGATGCACGGCTTCTTAAACCTAATTTACTCAATGTTCTGCTAAATACACCACTACTTCCAGCAACTTCTTTTTGGTTTTCGATTTCCTTCTTTTTATCATTTGGAACTTCAGAATGCGTTCTGATTCTGTATCTTCTTAAAACTTCACCTTCTTCGTTTTCAATTATAATGGTGCTACCAACTTTGTAAGCATGATATTTAGGTTTGTGGCTGTTATGGCTTGTGTCTCTACTTGAAATTGGGGATAAGACATTTTTCAAAGCTCTGAAACTTTGAACTGTGTCGTTACTCAAAACTCTAACCAAACTGTCATTACCTGAAAATACGCTAGCCTCTTCATCATTTGGACCTCTCCTCAAATTAATTTCATCCAAGATTTCACCTTGCCTGTTTTCAACGATGATATTATCACCTTCTGCATATGCCACTTTAGGAATTGATTCCATTTCAAAAAGTTTATCTCTTCTCTCTTGTTCGGATGAAATATGAGAAGCACCTTCATAGATCTCATCATCCATATCAACCATTGGTCTGGATTGGATATTTTCCAAATTATCACCAAATTCATCATTATACAATTTTTCTTGGATATTTGGAGATAAGCTTGCTGAAGTAGCATCCAATTTATGAGATACTTCATCGCTCTTGTCACTACTAGGAGTTTCATCAAATTCATGGGATTCAGTAGTTATCGCAGATAAATCAATAGATTGCTTTGAAGCTATTGGCTTAGCGCCACCTAGGGCAAAAGTGCCGGCTTGTGCTTCTTTTTCAAGTTGCAATCTTTCTCTACCTAAATCATTCAACTCATCGTCATTAAATTCGTTGACTCCATAAATACCTAACAGTTGTTCTCTTCTCTTCTTCAACTTTCTTCTAGCCTTGTTATGTTTATACTTCTTTCTTCTTGTCATACCACCAGCACGTCTAACTGGGACACCACTAGTTTCAATTGTACTAGTTCTTGACATATCACCAGGAGTGGCTTGGTTAGAAGCAGATCCCATTGTGTCAACACGTTGTAAAGAGAATGAACGGCCTGATTTGTCCAAAGTTGGTAATCTTGCCATCCATGAAGGTTTGGTCCCTCCAAATGTAGTATGTGTCGAGAATGATTTTGACAACGTGATAGTATTCAAATGACGACTTAAGGTGATAACCGCCACGGAAGAACCGTGGACCAAAATAGAAGTAACAATAAAGAAACATGTTATAGGCCAGACACAAGCCATTAGCTGCCAGTGCGGCGTTCCCTTTGGTGGCAACTCTGCTAATGGAGTTTCTTCATGACTAACAGATGATTCTAATTCTGCCCTTGATAAAATAGCAGCGAAAACTGCACCAACACCAATTGGACCGAAATGACCAACAAATAAAGCCTCTCTCCAGGATTTAATATCTGGGATAAAATGTTTTAATGCCAGCACTGCAGGAATTCTACGCAAAAATATGACAATAATTGCAAGAATGATCAGTCTCCAAACGTCAGTACCAATTTCACTATTATTGAACTGTTCCCATGGTACAATGGCACCAAAATAGATGAAATAAGAATAGTTCAAAAGTAATTCAATGACAGTCGAAATTTTAGTCTCTTCAGTCACTTCGGAAAACCAACCATCCCAAGCAAAGGCAGTGCCTGCTGCAAATGATACTAATAAATCATCTACACCTATTATGGAACCAAAACCGGCGCAACAGAAAGATAAAAAGATATAAAAGGAAAGAAATGATTCACGATCAATTAAATTCTTCTCCTTTGCGAACTTGATTGCTCTTCTTCCTGTGTAGCCAATGAATACACCAAAGACACATCCGAATATACATTCATATAGTAAGGTGATACAGAACCAATTTTTAACAATTTCCCTACCATTACCTGGATATAAGATTAAATTCAACGACAGGAAAATAAAAGGAAACGCCATACCATCATTACAACCTGATTCTGCAGCAAGTAAATTTCTTAAATGGCCAGGAACTCTCTGAGCAAATTTACCAGAAATTACAGATTGTGCCAAAATAGGATCGGTAGCCGTAATACAAGCAGAGATCAATAGACCAGAAGGAAAGTTCAAACCAGGAATAATAATCCAAACGAACAAACCTATAATTAACCAACCAGCAGTCATCACTGGTAACAATAACATTGCAACAGAAACCCAATGTTTCAACATATACTTTCTTGGTAATTCAACAGCAACTGCGAAAATTTGTAAACATAACACAATTCTTGTAATCTCTAAAGTGATACTATCAGTATTCCCCCAAGTTGTAGGACTAAACCATTTCAAACAATGAGGGCCAACAATTAAACCATAAATACCAGCTAAAGTAGATTCACCAATATACAACCGTTGTTTAATAAACAGAGATACTAATGAGAAAATTGCAGAAAACACACCGACAACTGCATAAGCAATATGAGGCTTGGTGGCCTCAATAATATGCCAAACAGCCATTGCTTAAGTGGTAACCAAAAATATGCAAAAACAGTAAATAAAATTTCACTTTGATAAATTTAAAAAAAAAATTCTTAACAAAAAAAACCTGATTATAATACCAACTAGATCACCTTATAGCCTTCCCATCAGCAATGAATACCTTTGGAAGATGTTCCTTAACCAATATATCCAATAAAATAACTTTGCATCGATTAGTGGTTTGTTTAAATATTACTTCTTTTAATGGTCTGGTATCCACATTTCTAATAGACCATCTAGATGCGTTTCGGGTCCTCCCCACAAGAGAACCCGTGTAAGGCTGGACATAAAAATTTGATAAATCCGGGTAACACAAGGGCGGTTAATTATGTAGATATGTATACGGATAGCTATAATTGAAGTTACTTAAACGACGATGAGATGGAAGATATAAATTGATCCTATTGGAATAACGATTATTGTAATTATCTATATGATGATGCATTTATGAAGGTTTGCTAGTATTCTAGTCCGGTTTTGGTTGGCTTAAGAAAGGAGTTGTAATTCTTGTTCAATTCTTGTTGAGATTTTTCTTTACCGAGTCTATTAGAGACTTCAATTCTCGAATGTTGGAGGGTATGTCTGAAGAATCTCTAGTTGATGGAGGATATTGATGTGGTGAAATGTATTTATGATGTGTTGTAGTAGTTACCGGTGTGCTCCATTGTTGGCGTTGTGGTTGTTGTGGGTCATTGGTCGATAATGGACCTATATTGGTAATTGTTGGAGTTCTGTTTCCCAATGCTAATGTTGATGAATTGGAAAGTTGGGAGTTCGATGGGAAGTTTCGACTATAGCTGGGGGTTCCTGGTGCTATCACATCTGGGACGCTGACTATACGTTGTGTTTTCCTGTATTTCATTGCTAGATGTGATGATATTCTTGGGGATGAAGCAGCAGTGTCCATTGATGGTGCCGATGGGGTTCTCAATTTGAAGTTTTTATTCTTTACTTCTGATAGCAATACTGGTAGTTTCATTTTCTTTGCTTTTGGTGAGGCTATCAGGTGGTTTTGTAAATGAGAATACGTGTTTCTTTCATTAATGGAAGCTTCATGTTTTTTTCTTTCTGAATCTAACATTTTTCTCATCTTTTCGTCAATCCTCTTGGTTATATTTAATGTTGAGTTATCTTGTGAATAAATTCCCGCGAGTGATCTCTTTCTCTGCAAACTGAGATTGTACTTGCCTCTTTCGGTATAATTGAACTTGTAACTTGACGATACTTGTTTGAGACCTAATTCAAGTGTTTCATGCGGAGAAACATCAACTAAGTTGGTGACAATTATATCACTTATCACACTACTAAAATTCTTTGCAATTCTATTCAATTTCAAATACTTCGATATTGTACCGTTATCCAAAATTGTCTCAGATGATTCCCAATAGACTATTAATATGCTGGCACTTATATTGGTGTTCAATGAAATCCCAGTAATAAGTTTAATAAGTTCTTCTCCATCTTGTTGCAGCTTTAGTTCTAAATCGAAAATATTTGGGTCAGTCACACCAGTGTTAAATACTAGTAATTGTAAATTCTCAAACTTTGAGGGATTAAAATCTAAGTCTATGCTTTTGACATTCATTGTAATTTCATTTTCTGAAATTGTGTAAACTGAATTTCTATCTTTCAAATTGAATTTACTTAAAATCCAATTTCCAGTTATTGAATCCCATGATCTGTTATATAGAAATGTTTCCAGCATCAATGGACCATTGGTTTTACATTTTTCTGATATTGTTTAAAGTATA